CCAGCCTTATTGTTTAAGTGTCTGTTCATTGTTCAGTGTGGTTTCACCAAGAGTAACATAGTTAAAAAGGTCGTTTTATTATGAAAATTGATTTTAAATATGAATTTAGTTCCTAACATACAGAAAGAGAAAATGCTCCCATATGATCTGATTGAAGCCATATTATTATTTAGTATGATACCATATTACTTAAAATTCCTCTCTAGGAAATTAGCATTTTAAATTAAAAATGTCAATGATTAAGACAAAAGTTGCGCAGAGTGCTTTTTTTTTTTTCTTTACTCTTATAAGATCAAAGTTTGGGGTCTATAGGAGAATATTTGCTTAAAGAACATATAAAACAATAAATTTTTCTAACTAGACAGACAGTGACTTATCTGAATGTAAAAAGTAAAAGAATTGAAACAGTTTTTTAAACTGATTTTGAAAGGATTTTCCCTGATATATAATGGAAGTGAGTATCTTTTATCTCAAGATAAAGATAGCTACACAGAGATTTCCCTTCTGTTGTTCCCAATGCATATGTGAAATTACAGCTAAAGTTGAAATTGCCTCTTCCAGGCCCTCTTCACCCTAGTCTGCTTCTGTAGTCCAGCACCTTTAAAATTTCTATATTCATTCTGTACAGTGTGCACATAAAACCTCATTCAAGGTTTTGGTTTCTTTCCCTTCCACAGCCCTCCCATTTACTGTATGCTGCATTTGTTTTAGATCTACCATTCACATCTGAGGAGAACATGTAGCTTTTGGCCTTTGAGCTGACTAACTTCACTTAAAATGATATCTCCAATTCCATCCATTTACCTTGTGAATGACAAAATTTCCTTCTTCTTTGTGGTTGAAATAAACTTCCATTGTATATTAAATAACACATTTTTTACTCCATTTATCAGTAGTGGAACATCTTGGCTATTCCCATAGCTTAGCTATTGTGAATAATGCTTGCAATAAACATGGGTGTGCAACCTGAATCACAATTCCTTTGGGTATATATCTAAGAATGTTATTTTAGATCGTATGGAGATCTATATGTTATTGGTTTAACGAGCTCAATATTGTTTTCCATAGCGTTTATACTACTTAAATTCCCACAATAGTATGTGAGTTCCTTTTCCCCGGATCTTCACCAACATTAGTTATTGGTGTTCTGATGGTTGCTTTTTCTAACAGGAATGAGATGGAATCTTAGTGTGGTTTTTGAACTGGCTAGGGATATTTCATTTTTTATGTGTGGTTTTTTTTTTTAGGGATTTGGATTTATCCTTTAAAAAGTTCTATTCAGTTCAGTTGCCCATTTCTTTATTGGTCATTGATTATGGGGTAGTTTACTTTTTTGAGCTCCCTGTATATGCTAGTTATCAGTCCCTGTGTCTGATGTATAGCTAGCAAATATTTTCTCCACTCTGTGGGTGGCTCTTCAGTTAGAGACCATTTCTTTTGTTGTGCAGCAGTTATTTAATTCATAGTCCATTTGTCCATCCTTTTCTGTTAGTTACTGAGCCTTGCCTGATGCCCATTGCTTCTAGTGGTGTTACCTGCTATCTTCTTATACTAGCTTCAGTATAAACTAGTCTGATATTAAGGTCTATATAAGGTCCTAATCCACTTGAGTTTGATACTGTACAAGGTGACAAACATGGATCTAGTTTCAATTTTCTGGCAATATCAGTTTTCCCAGCAACATTTGTAAGAGGCTGTCTTTCCCATTATATTTTTGGCACCTTTGTCAAAAATTAGGTGGGCATAGCTGTGTGGATTCATATCCGTGTGTTCTATTCTGTTCTGTGGGTCTTCATATCTGTTTTTGTGCCAGTACCATGCCGAATTTATTGCTATGGCTCTGTAATATAGTTTGAAGTCAGGTATTGTGATACCTCAAGCATTGCTCATTTGATGAGTATTGCCTTGGCTATTCTCGGTCTTCTGTGTTTCCAAATCAACCTAGGGTTGATTGTCAATCTGTGTGATGAATATCATTGAGCTTTTTATGGGAATTGCATTGAACATATAGACTGATTTGGGTAGTACAGCCATTTTTACTATGTTCACTCTGCCAATCCAGGAGCACGGGAGATCTTTCCATCTTCTGTAATCTTGATTTCTTTCTTCAATGGTTTGTAGTTTTGCTTGTAGAGTCATTTACATCCTTTGTTAAGATTATTCATAGGTATTAGATTTTTTGAGGCTATTGTAAATGGAATTATTTTCCTTATTCTTTCTTAATCTGTTCATTATTGGTGTATAGAAAGGATACTAATTTTTGTAAGTTGATTTTGTATCTGCTACTTTGCTGAAGCTATTTATGGTGTCTAGGAGTTTTGGGGTGGAATTTTTTGGTACTTTTATGTATGAGATCATGGTCAATCTGCAAATAGGATAACTTGACTTCTTTAACAATTTGTATGTCTTTTCTTTTTTCTTCCTGCCTTATGCTCTAGCCAGGAATTCCAAGACTATGTTGAGTATGAGTGGAGAAAGTGGGCACCCTGTCTTATTCTTGTCTTTAAGGGAAATGGTTTCAGTCTCCCTGTTAAGTAAGATGCTGGCTATATGTTTGTTATATATAGTCATTATTATGTTGAGGTACATTACTTCTAGTCCAAGTTTTATTATTTGCTTTTATCATGAAATGGTGCCAAATTTTATATAAGGCTTTTTCTGCATCTATTTGAGATGATGAGTGGTTTTGTCTTTACTTCTGTTAATATTCTGTATTATATTTAATGATTTGCATATGTTGAACCATTCCTGCATCCCTGGAATGAAACCAACTTGGTCTTTCTGAATGATCTTTCTAATATGGTATTGGATTCAGTTTGCCATTATTTTATTGAGGATTTTTGCATCAATGTTCATTAGGGAGACTGGCCTGTAATTCTCCATTTTGTATGTGTCCTTGTCCATTTGGGAATAGGTATAATACTGGCTTCATAGAATGGGTTAGGCAGTGTTCCTTCCTTTTCTATTTCATGGAAAAATTTAAGTATCATATATATAAGATCTTCTTTAAAGGTCTGGTAGAATTCAGTGGAGAATCCATTAGGTCCTGAACTTTTATTTTTTGGGAGATTCTTTACTGCTGCTTCAATTTCATAACGTGTTATAGATCTGTTTAGGTGGTTAATATGCTTTTGGGTCAGTTTTGGATTGTTATATGTATCTAGAAATTTTTCCATTTCTTCTAGATTTTCCAATTTATTTGACTATAGGTTTCTCAAAAGTAGTCCCTGTTGATTCCTTGGATTACCTTGGTGTTTTTTCTTATTTATTCTTTTTTCATTTACTAATTTGGGTCTTTCCCTTCTCATTTTAGTCAGATTTGCCAGGGGCTTGTCAGTCTTGCATATTTTTCCAAGAACTAGCTTTTTGTTTTTGTTGATTCTTTGTATGGTTTTCTTGGTCTCTATTTCAAATTTTGGTCCTTAGTTTTATTATTTCTCTCTTTCTACTTGTTTTGGGTTTTGCTTGTTCTTATTTTTCTAGGAGTTTGAGATATAGTGTTAGATCATTTACTTGAGATCTTTCTGCCTTTTTAATATATGTGCTCATTGCTATAAATTTTCCTCTTACAACTGCTTTTGCTGTGTCCCGTAAGTTTCTGATAAGTTGTGTTTTCATTTTCATTCAATTCCAGGAAGTTTTTGATTTCCTCTCTTATTTCTTCTGGAACCCACTGATCTTTGAGCAATGTATTGTTTAGCCTCCAAATGTTTGCATATTTTCTGCTGCTGCATTTGTTGTTGAGTTCTAGTTTTATGGGAATTGTGATCAGAGAGAATGTAGGGGATTATATAAATTTTTCTTGTATTTGTTGAGACTTTCTTTGTGCCCTAGAGATGATCTATTTTTGGAGGATGTTCCAAAGGGCTGCTGAGAAGAGTATATATTGTGCTGTTGCAAGATGGACTATCTGTAGACATCTGTCAGTTCCATTAGATCTATGGTGTCATTTACTTCTAGGACTTCTTTGCTAACTTTTTTGGTCTGGATGACCTATCTGTTGGTGTTAATGTTCTCCCACTACCATTGTGTTGGGGTCTATATGTGGTTTTAAGTCCTTTAGTATTATGTTTAATGATGTTAGGTGGACTGACATTGGGTGCATAAAAAGTTGATAATTGTTATTTCATCTTGATGTTCTTGGCTCATTTTATTAGTATGAAGTGAACTTCTTTATCTCTTTTGAGTAATTTAGGCTTGAAGTCCATTTTATCTGATGTAAGTATTGGTATTCCTGCCTGTGTTCGGGTCCATTTAGCTTGGCAAATCATCTTCCAGCCTTTTCATCCTAACCCAGTGTTGTTTCTGTCAATAAATTGAGATTATCATAAACAGATTGTTTTGTCTCCTGCTTAATCCAGTTGCCAAACAGTGTCTTCTGATGGGGAAGTTGAGTCCATTAACATTTGTGTTATTATGAAAGGTATTCCTGACATTTAGTTGTTTTGATTGTTTAAGGATTTGAGTGTGCAGTAAATTCAGTGCTATTCTCTGAATACTTGTCTATACTTCTCATGAGGTTTAATACTTCCTGTCCTTTCATTGGTATATTTATTTTCATCTTATATATGTAGAATTCCTTTGAGTATCTTCTGTAATGATGGCCTTGGTGGTCATCTATTATTTTAGTTTTCTGTTTATTTTGGAAGACTTTTATTCCTCCATCAATTTTCACAGATAGTTTTGCTGGGTAGAGTATTCTAGGACTGAAATTGTTTTCTTTCATTACTCAAAATACCTCACTCCATGCACTTCTTGCTTTTAAGGTTTCAATTGAGATGTTTGCTGTTATTTTGATCTGTTTACCTTCATATGCTATTTGTGTTTTCTGTCTTCTAGCCTTCAATATTCTTTCTCTGGGCTAGTTGTTTTAACAACAGTATGCCATGGAGAGGTTCTATTCTGATTTCAGGTTGAGGTGGTGATTTTTTTTTTTTTTAATAGGGCTTTGGCCAAGACTGTCCCATCTTAAGCTTCGTATGTTGGGTTGCATGGCAATTAGTGTTGCTCTTCCTTGTCAGCTTTGCGGGGGGCTCAGCTCTGGGTGTTTGAGCCCAGGCTTCCTTAGTGGGGTGGGGCTTCTGGAGCAGGCAGGTTCTCAGAAGTGGTACCATGAGAGGTTGGTAAACAAGCAGTCACCAGCCCCTTTGACTCACAGAGCAAACCTGTGATTTAGAAATGAGCTTTTTCATGGTGAGACTATCAGTTTTCAGCTTGCTCATGGTTTTCCAAGGCTGTGCAGTGCCTAGCTTTCCCCTCAGGGGCTGCTGAGTTGCCCCACCCTCACCTAAGCCTTTTCAGCTCTGCATTCTGCCTCTACCCACCAGGCAGAGGGAAAATATTCCCTCCCTTGTGTTTGGCCACCAGTTTTGCACAGAAGTTGTGCAATCAACTCTCCAGTTGTGATAGAATATGAGGTTCTCTCCCAAAACAGTGTTTTGTGCTCGCCTGGCAGGTTAACAGATCCACTTGGTTGAAAATAGATCAGCTACTGGGCAGAATAAGCAGGTAGCAGACAGAGGTTTTGTGTCTGCTTTGTGGGTCCCAATCTTTCCAGATACTTGCAGCAGTTCTCTTTCTACAGTCTCTGCATTGTGCTATTGTTGGCAAGGTTTTGCAGACACTAAGGTGGAGAGAGATCTTGCACAGGTGGATGGCAGTCAGAGGTTCTGGGTCCACATGTATTTATGGCAGGTCCAGGTACTCCAGATATTTGCAGGTCTCTGCTGTTCTCTGTGTTTTATTTTAGCTTTTCTGACCCAGGTGGGAGGGAAGTAAGATAGAGAGAAAAAGCAGAGGAAAAAAAAGAAGTGGCAGATTGGCCAGGGCTATTTGACCCTAATACCAGCTGTTCCCAGCTGGCAAACAGATAAGCAGGCTGGCAACAGCTGCCTGGCCCTCCAGCAGGCTGCTATGTGCTTTAAAAGTTAGTTTAAGGGCCCATCAAAATTATTATGTGACCCTCTGTATAGTGACATCTTGGTTGGCAGAAAAAGCAATATTACCTGATCCTTGCTGCCATGAAAATCTGGAGTAATTCTTTGAAATCATGGTCAAGGTCTCAGGGTTTGATTTCCACACTCTTGATTTCTTCGGGATTGTTTATTTTTAGTGTATAGTGACACTACTGAATTTTGCATTTTGAGTTCGTATCTTGCTATTTTGATAAATCTTAAAATATTAGGTCTAACAATATTTTATGTGTGTATATGTGTTTGTGTGTGTATAATCTTTAGTGTTTTCTAGATGTAAATGATCATAGCATCTGTTAACAGACCTAATTTTACTTCCTCCCTTTCTTTATTATTTTTTCTTTTTTTCCCCTAATTTTTTGGCTAAAACATCCAATGGCATGCTGAATAAAGGTGGCATAAAATATCTTCCTTTGTCTTGTTCTAGGTTTTAGAAGAAGAGATTTTAGCTTTTCACCATTGATTGCTATGTTAGTTATGTATTTTATTTGTCTTTTTTTATGTTCAGATACATTCCTTCTAAAATTGGATTAGTGAATTTTTACTATGAAAGTATTTTTATTATATGTGTTTTTAAGATAAAAGTATTTGTATAAACATTTGATTCAAATAATTAAAGATTTTAATGCTATTTATTTTTAACTGATACATAAAACATTTAAAAATTTACAGATCTATGTGGTACCAAGTGACAACAAGGATGAATTGCATATTCTAAAAAAGGTAGAACAACTTTGAATGCTTTCACCACTAAAAAAATGACAAATATTTGAGGAAATAGATGTTTGTAGTCTTATCCAAACATTATATAATGTATAGATGTATTGGATTACCACTTGACCACACTTAAATATGTTTTGACAAAAGAGTTTTTCAAATCCTTTTCTGCATCAATTGAAATGACCCTGCGTATGTGAGCATGTGTGTATGTGTGTGAGTGTGAATGTCTATCTGTGTGTATGTGTGTGTTGCCTTCATTCAGCTAATGTTTTGTATTACATGGATTAGCTTTCATATATGGCATATAATCCTTTAATATGATACTCAATTATGTTTTCTTGAATTTTGTTAAGGAGTTTTGCATCTATAAATATGAAGGTTTTTTGTGTGTAAACTTCTTTTCTTATATTGTTTTTGTCTAGCTTTAATAATAGAGCAATGATGGCTCTATTCAACAAGTTAGGGCGTGTTTTTCAAGACGCCAGTGTTACTCACTATAATATATAGATGCCATGAAATCCCTGTCAAAAATCCTAGTGAAGTATTCTTACATAAATAGAAAAATGTATCTTAAAACTCACATTGACTTTAAAGAGACAAATGCAATCTTGATTAAACTAAGAACAATGTTGGAGGACTGATACTTTAATTTTAAAACTTACTAAAAAGCTACACAACAAGATGACACTGGCACAAAGACATAGAAAGCAACAAAAAAGAAAGTGCAGAAATAAACTCTCACATTTATAGCTAAAGGATTTTTGAAAAGGATGTAATCACCATTTCTTTGGAAAGGACAGTTTTCAACAAACAGTGCTGGTAAAGTTGGATGTACACTTGTGAAAGAATGAAGTTAGGCCCTTTCCTAACACAATATATAAAATTTAACTCAAAAATGGCCAAACCTAAATAGAAGATGTAAATCTGAAAAACTATCAGAAGAAAATATAAGGCAAAAGCTTCATGACAATGGCTAGTGAATGATTTCTTAGATATGATTTCAGGCTTGGGCAACAAAAGAAAAAATAGATAAATTAGACTTCCTGAAAATACTTTTTTAATGTTTTTTATCAAAAGATGAAAATGGCAATCCAAAGAATGAGAAAATATTCTGAGTATGTGTAGCATCACTAAAACTAAGAAATAAAACATACAAACTGATTGAAAGGTGGATAAAGCACTTGACATATATCCCCAAAGATACAAATGGTCAACAGGCACATGAAAAGAGTTCACATCAGTAGTCATTAGGGAACTACAAATCAAAGCCACAGTGTGTTATTACCCCAATTGGTTTATCTCCTCTAATTTTCTTCATTCTACCTTAGCCCCTTTCTTCTGGTAGTTTCAGTTAGTTTAAGATTTCTATATTCATTCTTGTGTAGAGTATATCAACCATATTCAAGTTCTTAGTTTCCCTATTACTCCCATGGGTAACCTCCCCTTAGCATGACCAGTGTTTTATAATATTGCTGCATTTGTGTTAGGTCTATATTACATATATAGAGAGAACATGTGGCTTTTGGCCTTCTGTGTGTGGCTAACTTGGTAGAATGAAGAAAATTAGAGGAGATGAAACAATTGGGGTTATAATACATGGAAAGATCAAAAGGGAACTGTCTGTGTAGTTACCTTTATCTCAAACAAGCTAAAATGTCATGTTTTTTGTTTTATCTTTTCTTTTTTTCATCTATAAAATTAGAGAACAGGAGGGCGGAACAATCTTGCCCAGAGAGAAGGGCTGGCACCAGTGGGAGGGGGGAGGTGATGAGCAAAGGAGGGTAGAAGGTGAATATGGTGCAAAATATGTGCACACATGTATGTAAATGCAAAAATGTACCTTTCAAAACTACTCCAGGAATCAGGGGAGCAGGGGTAAAGGAGAACATAAAGAGGGTGAATTAATGTATGATATATTTGGTACATTGTAAGAACCCAAGTAAATGTGATAATGTACCCTCTCCCAACACAACATAAAGGAAAATAAAGCAAATACTTTATAAAAAAACAAAACAAAACACAGTGTGATACCACTCCACACCCATAAGAAATGCTATTATATTAAGAGAGCAGAGAGAGATAGAGAGAGTGAGAGAAGGAAAGAAATAAAGGAATGAAGAAGGCAGGCAGGCAGGAAGGAAGGAAGGAAGGAAGAAAAAAGAGAAAGAAAGAGAGAATGTTGACAAGATGTGGGAAAACTTCCCATTGAATTAATAGTGTGAAATGGAGCTGTGATTCGCTCCCTGGATCCATATGGTCCAGCAATTCTTCTCTGAGATACACTCAATATCAAAATCAAGGTCTGAAAGAGATATTTGAAACACCCAAGGTTATGACATTGTTATTTACATTAACTCAAAGATCAAAGTTGTCTAGGCGCCCATCAACAGGTGAATGGATGAATGCAATATAGGATATATGTATACACAGAGAAAATGGAATGTAATTAGCTTTAAAAATGAAAGGAAATTCTGACACCTGCTACATGGATGAATGTTTGCAACTTTATGTTAAGTGAAATTAGCCAGGTTAAAAAAAAAAAAAAAAGAAAGAAAGAAAGAAAGAGAGAAAGGACTGGTAATGAATTCCACTTATAGGAGTTTAATTTAAAGAGGTCATGAAGTACAATGATAACTGCTGGGGATGGAGGTATATGGAAATGGAACATTATTTAGTGGATACAGTTTTCAGCTCTCTTTCCAGGTGAAAAGTTCTGGCACAAACTTGGTTAAGAAGAAATTGTGCTATTTCTGTCACAATTAAAATTTTTTTAAAAATAATATAGGAAAAATACATTTGGAGAACTTTTCAAAAACTACTAATGGGCAAGCTTTCCCATGTGTATTTCTTATTTTTATTTTGTTTTTCTAGAAATAAGGCTGGTGTGGTATGAATTGCTTCCTGCTGTGTAATTATGTCTACTTTAAGGATTGTCATTGTATAACAGCATATACATTCATAGAATGTCTTTATTTTTCTGTTCTTATTTCTATTCTTAAAAGGCAGTTACTTTACCTGAACAATGATATTCTACTGTGGTTTCAATTATAACATATCTGGTTTGTATTTACATTGGTAAAATATTACATACTTAAATATATGATATTTATATCAAATATTTAGATCAAAGCTTCCTTTTGAATTTATTTTAACTTAGAAATACATTTCATTTTATTTGATTGAAATTATCTATTAACTTTATTAAGATATTCATTTTTTTATTGTTTTTAAATGTTACTTCAATAAAAGTCATTCAAATGGAACACCAACAGCATATCAGATTAAACAATTATCTATTCAGTAGTCAACGTAATTTTATTTTTACTTATATAAATATGAAAAAATTCTGTAGTTATAATAAGACCTGCAACAGGGCTCTGCATAAGGGCTGTAGATAAGGCGAGGGTGTATTATAATATATTACATCTTGCCTTGTCTTGATTCGTGAATATGATGTAATGTAGCCTTAAAAACAAGATTTTTAAAGCCATGGAGTTAGTGAAAGAAAAGTTGTGGTTCTAGGTAATGTCTAGGAAATTTTATTTATTTAAAAAATATTTTGTAGATGTAATTCCCATGCAAATCAAGAAAGACTAAATGTTTGTTAAGAGTACATTACAACTGTGTTAAGTCTTCCTCTAAGACTAAGATAAATATCAGCAGTTTGTGAGTCATTCATTAACCAGATGAATTCTGAAATTATGTCATCAGCCATGCCTGAGATACATTATATTTTTTAGCTACTCCTCTTTTCTGCAAAATATTAAATAGTAAAAAGTGATCTGCAAATTACTCTATTGGGTAGGTGTACCAGGTTATACCTAAATAGAAGGGACTATTTAGATTGTGGTAAAGATGATGATATCTATAATTTTTAAATAGCTATTTTTTTCTAAATTCAATTCATTGCTACAAGTGCTATGGACATAAATAAAGTATACAGTTAACAAGATACTAGGAATATACAGAGGAAAAGACTCTTCTCCACCATTTCTGTTATTTGAAAGATGAGAATACCATGTCAGGAAGACATAATCAGAGGAGGAGGTGCCCAGAGGCTGGGCTTGGTTTGTCATTTGTACATTGGATGCGCTTAGGAATTATAGCTGATCAGTACCTGGAGATGTTGGCAACCATGGTGCTCTGATCTCTCATGGAAGTTATGAACCTTTCCCCAGGAGCATATAATCTTTACTCATTTTCTTCCAGGTACTATATTTTCCTTCTTCATCCAAATATATTCTTTCTCAAAAAATTGTTCTATTTTTTATCCATTATCTATTCCTGTTGGTCACACTCTAGAAATTCTCTTTCTGGATGTTCTCCAAGGTCCACCTGTGTTTCATATTAGTATGAAAACAAAAACAAAACAAAAGCTACTCTGAACAAAAAACAAAAGCTACTCTGAACAAAAACAAAACAAAAGCTACTCTGAACACACCAAAACCTCAGTAAAACTAGCATTCATTACCAGCACAATCCCCATAATCATGTTCATTCACTTAGGCAACGAAACCATTGTATCCAACTGACACTGACTTACTATCCATACCACAAAACTCTCACTCAGCCTCAAACTAGACTATTTCTCACTACTCTTCGTACCAGTGGCCCTATTTGTAACATGATCTATCATAGAATTCTCCCTATGATACATGCACTCCGACCCCAACATTAACCAATTCCTCAAATACCTACTATTCTTTCTTATCACCATATTAATCCTAGTCACAGCAAATAACCTATTTCAGCTATTCATCGGATGAGAAGGAGTCGGAATCATATCATTCCTCCTCATTGGATGATGATACGGACGCACTGACGCTAACACCTCAGCACTACAAGCAATCTTGTACAATCGAATCGGAGACATCGGATTCATCCTATCAATAGCATGATCCTTAGTTACTCCAACTCATGAGACCTCCAACAACTATTCATAGACCCTAAAATAACAACAATCCCCCTACTAGGCCTACTACTAGCTGCCCCGGAAAATCAGCCCAATTCGGACTCCACCCATGACTCCCTCAGCCATAGAAGGCCCCACACCAGTATCAGCTCTACTCCACTCAAGCACAATAGTTGTGGCAGGAATCTTTCTCCTAATCCGATTTCACCCCTCCTAGAAACCAATAACTAATTATATCAACCATACTATGCCTAGAGCTATCACAACCCTCTTCACAGCAATCTGCGCCTTACACAAAACGACATCAAAAAATCATCGCATTCTCAACCTCCAGCCAATTAGGCCTTATAATAGTCACCCTAGGAAATCAACCAACCCACCTGTCATTCCCCACATTGCAATCATGCATTCTTCAAGGCAATATTATTTATATGCTCAGGGTCCATTATCCACAGCCTCAAACGACGAACAAGACATCGTAAAATAGGAGGACTAGCCAAAGCCAATACCATTTACAACTTCCTCCCTAGTAGTAGGAAGTCTCGCACTCACAGGCATGCCTTCCTAACAGGGTTTACTCAAAAGACCTTATCATTGGAATCCGCCAACACGTCGTACCAACGCCTGACCCCTACTAATCACACTCATTGCAACCCCCTTACAGCTTATACAGCACACGAATCATCTTCTTCGCCCTACTAGGGCAACCCCGATTTCACCCACTCATCCAACATCAATGAAAACAACCCACAACTAACAAACTCTTATCAAGCGATTACTAGTAGAAGCATTCGTGGCTTCATTATCTCAAACAACATCATTTCCCATAAACAACCCACATTAACCATACCCCTATTACCTAAAATTAATAGCCTTGGCAATCACCGTATTAGCTTCACCATCGCAATAGAACTAAATAACATAACCTACACCTAAAACTAAACCTAACCTCCAACACCAACTCATTCTCCCACAATCTAGGATTCTTCCCAGCCATCATACACCGAACTTCGCCCAAACCACCACACTAATACTCAGCCAAAAAACAGCGTCAAACCCTCCTAGATACCAACATGAACAGAAAAAATCACACCCAAACTGCTAGTCACTACAAATTAAAGCCTCTTACCGTATCCAAACCAAAAAGGATAATCAAAACTATACTTCCTGTCCTTCCTACTATCAGCAGCTTTAGCACTAACAATCATCATTTAACGACCACGAGTAATCTCAAGAACAATAAAAATACTCACAAACCAAAGACCAAACCGCCAACACCATAATCAAACACCCATAACTATAAACAGCTGCAACACCCATACATCTTTATTAATACACTCAACCCCCTCACCACTATAAAACCCATCGCTTGTATTATAACACCCCCCAATACATCTACCTCATCATTCTTCACCAACAAGGCTAAAAAAATTAACTCAACAAACAAGCCAAAAACCAAAGCACTTCAAATAGACCACATTAGAACCCCACGTTCTCAGGATAATCTTCAATAGCCATAGCCGTAGTATAACCAAACACCATATCCCCCCAAATAAACTAAAAATACCATCAGCCCTAAAAAAGAACCACCAAAACTCAAAATTAACCCACAACCAACCCCACCGCTAACAATCAACCCAAGCCCGCCGTAAATAGGAGAGGGCTTAGAAGAAAAACCCACAACCCAACACAAACATAATACTTAATAAGTACATAGAATAAGTCATAGTTTCCCACATGGGACTCAAACCAAGACTAATGACATGAAAATCATCGTTGTAATTCAACTACGAAAACCCCTAATGACAAACATCCGAAAAACACCCATTAATAAAAATTATAACCACTCATTCATTGACCTCCCAAACACCATCCAATATCTCAGCATGATGAAACTTTGGTCCCTGACTAGGAATCTGCCTAATCCTACAATTGCAACGGCTATTCCTAGCAATACACTACACATCAGACACCGCGACCAGCATTTCTCTTCAGTCGCACATATTTGCCGAGACGTCAACTACGGCTGAATTATCCGATACCTTCATGCCAAACGGAGCCTCCATATTCTTATCTGCCTATTCATACACGTAGGACGAGGGGTTCTATATGATCATTTACCTTCACAGAGAACATGGGAACATTGGCATCATCTACTATTCACAGTCATAGCAACGCCTTTATAGGATACGTCCTCCCGTGAGGCAAATTCCTTTGAGGAGCCACAGTAATCAACAAATCTACTTCAGGCAATTCCATACATCGGCCCACAACCTAGAGAATGAAATTTGAGGCGCTCTTCTAGACAAGCCACCCCTAACCGATCTTCCGCATTCCCACTTCATCTACCCCTTGTTATTGCAGCACTAGCAACAGTCCACCTCCTATTCCTACACGAAACAGGATCCCAATAATCCATCAGGAATCAACTCAGACTCTGACAAAATCCCTTTCCACCCATACTTTACCATCAAGGACTCCCTGGGAGTACTACTCCTACTTACCCCCCTCCTAACACTAACACTTTCTCACCAGACCTACTAGGAGACCCAGACAACTACACACCAGCCAACCCCCTAAGCCACACCTCCACACATCAAACCAGAATGATACTTCAATTCACATACGCATCCTACGATCCATTCCCCAACAAATAGGCGGAGTTGTAGCCCTAGTACTGTCAATCCTAATCCTAGTGGCCTTCCCACTACTCACACATCAAAAACAACGAAGCCTAATATTCCGTCCAATCAGCCATGCCTGTTTCTGAGCGCTAGCCACAGATCTCCTAACCCTAACATGAATCGGCGGACAACCCGTTGAACCCCATTCATCATCATCGGCCCAAACAGCATCAATCCTATACTTTTCATCATCCTCATCCTCATACCTACCGCCAGCCTAATTGAAAACAAAATACTTAAATGAAGAGTCCTCATAGTATAAAACTATTACTTTGTCTTGTAAACCAACAATGGGAAAAAACACCCCTTAGGACATCAAGGAGGAGACAAAGTCCCACCATCAGCACCCAAAGCTGACATTCTCATAATTAAACTACCCCCTGCACCCCACACAAGAACAACCTATGTATATCGGCATTAAGTTATCTTCCACATTAATAATGCTCGAGTACTTCAAATGTTAATCGTACATAGTACATAACTGCATAATCACACATACAAATTCTCTTAAGACAAGGTAAAGCAAGTACAATAAAATAGCGGACATAGTATACACAAAACCGTAATCAACATGATATTAACAAACCAACATGGAATATTCAAGACCAAACGACCCCTACAAGCGGACATAAAACATAATCTATTAATGTGCATTTAGCGCATAAAGTCATAAACAATCCATCTCAAAAATGGATATCCCCACCACTGGATAGTCTCTTAATCTACCACCTCCGTGAAACCAGCAACCCGCTCGGGAAGTAATCCCTTCTTTCTCCGCTCCGCCCAACAACTTGGGGTTTTCTATTACTGAACTATATCTGGCATTCTTGTTCTTTACTTCAGGGCCATGATAACTTAGATCGGCCCACACGTCCCTTAACCATAAGACATCCTCGAAGAATTCACACTGGACGGTAGCGGACCCTCGCGGCGCGCGCACTAAGGAGTCAGAACATAACATGAATTACTAGTCAGTAAAAGAATCATTTGGATGAGGATATTCATATATTAAAGATTCGTAACGAATAGACTGATGACGTTACAAGCGACAGACTAAGACCAGATCAATGGGCCCGTAAGTGGTCTCGGGACGTCGCACAATTCCACACGATAGGTATCATACCTCATAGAGTGATGTCGATGCGCAACTCTTCAACACGCCCGATATACCGACCCGTCTTCCGCCTTACGGCAGACCCGCGACAATAAAAGACAAATCAAAGGCGTCTACAGGTTCTAAAGCAGACCATCAGATGGGCCAATTATGGACACTACCCATCACCAAAGAACTCCCAGAGAACACCAACCCACCCAACGACCTACACGAGCATATAAGCAGCCGTATACACGTATAACGTAACACTTACACGTATACACATACACGTATACACGTATATTATGGGCAAACCCCACCCTACCCCCCCGCATGACTAAACTCTTTGCCCAAAACCCCAAAAACAAGAAACATGCTCTCCAACAAACTTCACACAACTACCTACCCTAAAACCTCACGTTTAATCCTTTTTTAACGTTTAATGTATAATGTGCCATCTCAGTATCTCGTAAAATTAAATCACAAAACCATGCTCCCACCCCCCTCCCACATACTTAATAAAGACACCCAAAACAACCGACCCATATAAAAGAAACTGACTCAAACACAAAAAGTTAAATGTAGCTTATATACCAAAGCAAGGCACTGAAAATGCCTAGAGGATTGCATAATCCTAAACAAAGAAAGTTTGGTCCTAGCCTTTTTATTAGTTTTCAGTGAAATTACACATGCAAATATCTCCGTGCCCCAGTGAGTACGCCCTCTAAGTCTAACAGACCAAAAGGAGCAAGCATCAAGCACACAAAATTTGTAGCTAAGACGCTTTGCTTGCCACACCCCCACGGGACACAGCAGTGATAAAATTAAGCAATAAACGAAAGTTTGACTAGTTACACTGACTAAGGGTTGGTAAATATCGTGCCAGCCACCGCGGTCATACGATAGACCCAAACTAATAAACCTGGCGTAAAGCGTGTTTAAGAATTCCACCCTCAATAAGAATAAACTTACCTACTGTAAAAACAGCTAAAGAAAAATAACACGAAAGATCTTAAAAATATCTGATAACACGACAGCTAAGACCCAACTGGGATTAGATACCCCACTATGCTTAGCCGTAAACTAATATGTAAACCTAACAAACATATTCGCCAGAGAACTACTAGCAATTGCTTTAAACTCAAAGGACTTGGCGGTGCTTTATATCCATCTAGAGGAGCCTGTTCTATAATCGATAAACCCGATTCACCTCACCATCTCTTGCTAAGTCAGCCTATATACCGCCATCTTCAGCAAACCCTAATTAAGGCACTTAAGTAAGCCAAAACATACAACATAAAAACGTTAGGTCAAGGTGTAGCCAATGAGGTGGGAAGAAATGGGCTACATTTTCTTGCCCTAAAGAAAACCAACGGAAACTCTTATGAAACTGAAGAGGATAAGGAGGATTTAGCAGTAAATTGAATTTAGAAAGCTCAATTGAACTGAGCAATGAAGCACGCACACACCGCCCGTCACCCTCCTCAACATTTTTACTACTAAGCTTACATAAATGCCACACAAAATTAAGAGGAGATAAGTCGTAACAAGGTAAGCATACTGGAAAGTGTGCTTGGAACATCAAAATGTAGCTTAGCCACAAAGCATCTGGCCTACACCCAGAAGACTTCACACAATGAACATTTTGAGCCAATTCTAGCCCAAAAACCAACAACCACAACTACACAAACCAAAAATAAAACATTCACCAAATTGTAAAGTATAGGTGATAGAAATACATACCACGGAGCCATAGAGCCAGTACCGCAAGGGAAAGATGAAAGATTAACTCAAAGCACTAAAAAGCAAAGATTACACCTTGTACCTTTCGCATAATGATTTAACTAGAAAAAGCTTAACACAGAGAACTTCGCTAAGCACCCCGAAATCAGACGAGCTACCTAAAGACAGTTATTTATGAACACACTCATCTATGTAGCAAAATAGTGAGAAGATCTCTAGGTAGAGGTGAAAAGCCTACCGAGCCTGATGATAGCTGGTTACTCAGAACCGAATCTCAGTTCCACTTAAAATTTACCACAAGAAATAATAATCCACCATGTAAATTTTAATGTTAATCTAAAGAGGGACAGCCCTTTAGATACGGATACAACCTTCAATAGAGAGTAAAATAATCCACACAGCCATAGTTGGCCTAAAAGCAGCCATCAATTAAGAAAGCGTTCAAGCTCAACCACACTAACTTCTAAATCACAAAAACCATCATGACCTCCTATAACACAAACTGAGTTAATCTATTTACCAATAGATGCATTAATGTTAATATTAGTAACAAGAAAAAATTCTCCAAGCACAAGCTTATATCAGACCGAATGAATCACTGATAGTTAACATATATATAGGAAAAAACAAAAACAGGCCCAACCTATAAAACGCAATGTTGACCCAACACAGGAGTGCTATAAGGAAAGATTAAAAGAAGTAAAAGGAACTCGGCAAACAAAAACCCCGCCTGTTTACCAAAAACATCACCTCTAGCATTACAATTATTAGAGGCACCGCCTGCCCAGTGACAATTGTTAAACGGCCGCGGTATCCTGACCGTGCAAAGGTAGCATAATCACTTGTTCTCTAAATAGGGACTTGTATGAACGGCTTGACGAGGGTTTATCTGTCTCTTACTTCCAATCAGTGAAATTGACCTTCCCGTGAAGAGGCGGGAATGAACAAATAAGACGAGAAGACCCTATGGAGCTTTAATTTCTTTAAACCACAATTATAATTTTCCCCTTATTGGTTTCTAGGAGGGGGTGAAATCGGATTAGGAGAAAGATTCCTGCCACAACTATTGTGCTTGAGTGGAGTAGAGCTGATACTGGTGTGGGGCCTTCTATGGCTGAAGGGAGTCATGGGTGGAGTCCGAATTGGGCTGATTTTCCGGTGGCAGCTAGTAGTAGGCCTAGTAGGGGGATTGTTGTTATTTTAGGGTCTATGAATAGTTGTTGGAGGTCTCATGAGTTGGAGTAAACTAGGAATCATGCTATTGATAGGATGAATCCGATGTCTCCGATTCGATTGTACAAGATTGCTTGTAGTGCTGAGGTGTTAGCGTCAGTGCGTCCGTATCATCATCCAATGAGGAGGAATGATATGATTTCCGACTCCTTCTCATCCGATAATAGCTGAAATAGGTTATTTGCTGTGACTAGGATTAATATGGTGATAAGAAAGAATAGTAGGTATTTGAGGAATTGGTTAATGTTGGGGTCGGAGTGCATGTATCATAGGGAGAATTCTATGATAGATCATGTTACAAATAGGGCCACTGGTACGAAGAGTAGTGAGAAATAGTCTAGTTTGAGGCTGAGTGAGAGTTTTGTGGTATGGATAGTAAGTCAGTGTCAGTTGGATACAATGGTTTCGTTGCCTAAGTGAATGAACATGATTATGGGGATTGTGCTGGTAATGAATGCTAGTTTTACTGAGGTTTTGGTGTGTTCAGAGTAGCTTTTGTTTTTGTAAAAGTCTGTTAGTGATATTAGGATGGGATATATGAGGATAATAAATGTTATGATTATGGACAAAGCTAGTACGTTTATTACTTTTATTTGGAGTTGCACCAATTTTTTGGTTCCTAAGACCAACGGATAACTGCCATCCTTTTTTTTTTTTTTTTTTTATTATTCATATGTGCATACAAGGCTTGGTTCATTTCTCCCCCCTGCCCCCACCCCCTCCCTTACCACCCACTCCACCCCTTCCTGCTCCCCCCTTCAATACCCAGCAGAAACTATTTTGCCCTTATCTCTAATTTTGTTGTAGAGAGAGTATAAGTAATAATAGGAAGGAACAAGGGGTTTTGCTGGTTGAGATAAGGATAGCTATACAGGGCATTGACTCACATTGATTTCCTGTGTGTGGGTGTTACCTTCTAGGTTAATTCCTTTTGATCTAACCTTTTCTCTAGTTCCTGGTCCCCTTTTCCTATTAACTGCCATCCTTTAAAAGTAAGAAAGCCATATTTTTAGGTATGGTGGCATGAGTTAGCAGTTCTTGCATACTTTCTTGGTAAATAAGAAAGTTTTATTTTCTGACTCTAGATTCACAATCTAGTGTTTTTGTTAAACTATATTTACAGAATATTGTGCCGAGGATAATCTTTGGATTTAGAGAGAGTAGGAGTAGGGGGAGCAGGTGGAGGAAAACTAGGGAGTTTTCTCGTGTGAATGACGGGTGGATGTTGTTTATGTGATAAGTAGGCTTGCCTCGTTGGGTGGTGGTTAATATATACAAGGTGTATAGGGCTGTGATCAGGGTATTGGTTCCTATAAGGAGGATGGTGAAGTTGGATCATGAAAATGAGGAGGTAATAATTATTAGTTCTCCAATTAGGTTGATTGTTGGGGGCAGTGCGAGGTTGGTTAGGCTTGCTGTGAGTCATCATAGGGCTATTAGTGGGAGTATTGTTTGAAGGCCTCGGGTTAGGAGTATGGTTCGGCTGTGTACTCGTTCGTAGTTCGTGTTTGCTAGGCAGAATAAGACTGATGAGGTTAGACCGTGGGCTACTATTAGTGCTGTAGCTCCTATGAAACTCCATGGAGATTGAATTAAGATAGCGACGATCACTAGTGCTATGTGGCTGACTGATGAGTATGCAATTAAGGATTTTAGGTCTGTTTGTCGTAAGCAGATTGAGCTGGTTATTACTATTCCTCATAGGGATAGTAGTATAAATGGGTATATCATGTGGTTTGTGATGGGTGATAGAAGGATGGTGATTCGTATTATGCCGTATCCTCCTAGTTTTAGTAGGACTGCCGCTAGTACCATGGAGCCGGCAATGGGTGCTTCAACATGGGCTTTAGGCAGTCATAGGTGTAGACCATATAATGGTATTTTGACTATAAATGCTATTATGCATGCTAACCACAGCAGGTCGTTGGATCATGATAGGTTTAATTGTTCTGAGTAGTTGTTCAGGATATGGAGGTTTAGGGATCCTAGCGAGTTTTGTAGGTAGATTAGTGCAACTAAAAGGGGCAGGGATCCAATTAGTGTATAAAATAAGAAGTATAGGCCTGCGTTAAGTCGTTCTGTTTGGTTCCCCCATCGTGTAATGATGATTAGTGTGGGGATTAGTGTGGCCTCAAATAGGATGTAGAACAGGATTAGTTCTGTGGCGGTGAATGTTATGATTAGTAGGATTTGTAGTAGTACTAGTATAGTGATATATATTTTTTTTCGTCCTACTGGCTCTTTGTTCATATGTTGCTGGCTGGCTATGATTATTAGTGGTAGTAATCAGGCTGTTAAGATTAGGAGGGGGGCTGAGAGGGCGTCTGAGGAGAATAATAATGAGAAATTAAGGCTGTTTTCGTTTGATTGGTTTAGGGTGAATAGGCATAGTATACTGATTAGTAGGCTGTGGGCGGTTGAGTTGATTCAGATTATATTGTTTTTTGAGAATCATGTTATGGGGATTAGTATGATTGTTGGTACGATAATTTTTAGCATTGTAAAAGGTTTAGGTTTTGTACATAGTCCGTTCCGTATGCGTTTGATATTGTGACTAGCAGGGCTAGTCCTACTGCGGCTTCGCAGGCTGCAAAAACTAGAATGATGATGGGGAATATAAATGATAGGGTGATGTTGTAGTTTAGGGCGATTAGGGTTGTGATAATAAAAATTGATAGTATTATACCTTCTAGGCACAGGAGTGAGGATATTAGGTGTGATCGATAAATTAGTGCTCCTAACAGGGATGCTAGGAAGGCCAGGAATAGGTTGATTAGGATGGGGGACATTTGGTGCTTATGAGTTGTTCATAATCTAATGAGTCGAAATCATTTGCTTTGTGTTAAACTAAGCACCATATTCATTTCATTCTAATCCCTTTTGGGACTAGCTTTTGACTAGCTTTCTATAGATCCAACTGCTGGCAAATTTCCTAGAAATTTGTCCTATTTGTATCCCTCCAAAATTCTATGTGGAAAAGAGGTGTTTTCCTATTAGTATAGCCGGTAGCTTCCATAGGAATGCCGCATTTTGAACTTAGCCATTCTCTGCACTTTCATTTTATGAGTATTGCAGGCATGCATGACTTTTCTTTTCCAAATAACCAGTGTAATACTTTATTGTGAACATGGGTCCCCACAAGTTTCTTTAATGCCTCCTACTAGTCCTAACTTGGCTATGTGAAGGAAAACAACAAATGGCCAAACCTCCTCTTTTACTTTCTCCAACCAAGAAAGTATTAGAAGTTGAATAGTAATTCTCTATGCAAGCATTGTGATATTTTATATCTACTCTTTTCTAAAAAAAAAGTTAAGATTGTATGTGGTACATTAGTTAAGTTTCTTTAATATTCTTTGCAGCTTTAGTCATTTGAGCACAGCAGGACATACAAATTCATAAGAAGAAAGCATGAGGTCAAATTAGAAGCAGACTTGCCCTTCCTTTAGAATTGTAGACTACTCCAACAAGTTTCCTCTTGTTCTAAAATACAGACAATGCATCTGGCTTTTTATCTGAAGAGGGA